CCGTTGAGAGTTTCGTGTTCCGAGTTAAGTTTTGCCTAACGCCGTGTCTCCGGGTCCGACCTCGAGTGCCGTCTAAAACTTCAACTTCAACGACAACTCCGCTTCGTCAGCCAACGCCCAACCACTGGCTTCCCAAGATAGGCTGCCGCCTGCCAATGTCAAGGGCATTGTCGTTTTTTAATTCATGCTTCAGACACCGGTCACGCTGAAGGCGTTCCCCTAGCGCCCTCTAGAGGACGCAGTGTGGAGTTCCCTTTCGAAAGGGAAGCCTTGTTTTGCCCTCCATGTGGGCATTCCTGTAATGGTGTGACGTTATGTGAAAATGAAATAGAAGGCAATTGGAATACATTGAGTAAGAGACAGAACTGCAAATTTAGGTAATTAGTAGACAATAAATGCATTTATTTACAATATTTATAAAATACATCAACATGTATATGTAGTATGTATATGTAATTATATCGATGTTGTTTTTAAATGATAAAATTTGCTAATATTTGAGGTTAATGTGGTCAACTATCGTATGCCGTAACATATTTTAGGCTAAAGTTACCTTGGTTAAAGACCTTGTTTGCTGTCGTTTAGAATTTTTTTTTTATGTTCTTAAACTTGCATGTTATTCAAGTGCAGTCATGTCTTAATGTTCATTGTGGTGTCACACGTTTCATGGCAACTGAAGGCCTAAATAATCTTAATGACAATGCTTAGTGTGTTGTCTTAGAAAATTAATTCAAAATAAGTGAATTTTAAGATTAAATTAAGTGAAAATTAATATTGTTTAATGTTTTCGATTATTGTGCACCCCTCAATTATTGATATATAAATATATTCATAGTATATTCAAATTTAAAACAACTTAAAACATTGTTTTTACACATTTAATCATATATGTTATGTATGTCGTCTTCTGCTATTTACAGCTATGAATTTATACATGTAAAATCAACTCATAGTCACCACCAAGGTTTGCTGTGCTGCATGACAATGCTCCAGTCAATCACAGAAAGTAGTATGAATGTATGGTTTCCCTACTGATGTGGAGAGGAGGAAAATTTACTTGATCCCCGCTTCCAGTCTCAAAAGTCAACTTGATGAGGAGCGAGCAGGGGTTGAGCAGTTGAGAGGGCGTAAAGGGGGTCAAACAAGCGCTCCTCAGCGTCGTTCTCGCGAGAGCACATTTTTTGCATGCCGATAATGTTCTGTGCAGAAATGCTCCCTCGTGAGGGCAGTTTTTAAGTGCACATAGTTGGTTTAACACAGACTGTGACCCTGAAACTATTAGCTTTGTTTGTCTCTTCGTGCTACAATAATCCAAATCTGTTATCTCCCTAAACCAATTAACCACACTAGCATTCTATGTTGACCCCAGCGTTTGCTCTGGATATGGGGTTCGGGAACATCCCTGATTCATTATCCTCAGATACCACCCTGCTTTTCACTAATATGTGCCAAGGGAGGTGCCAATGTGGCCGAGCCTGATAACATAGACGCCTGTGGGCACCCACTTTAACTCATGGCCAGGGTTCCGGTGCTGGAGGCACATTGTCATGGCACAGCTAGTGTGTCGAATGGGATTGAAGCAGCAGATATTGTGACATTCGTTACATCTGTATGCTTTGAAGAAGAGCCGCGGTAATGAAGGAAGCCGGAGAGAGAAACACACAGCGCTGGGCACGTGGCTTGAGTGTTTATATGCTAAATCTAGCCTATGCTAGATCTATCTTGCACTATGTTTTGCTTGAGTGTCATCCATATATGCATGACGATACAGGATATTGTCGCACATAAATGGATGTAAATGGATCAAAATGTGCTTGTCAGTGATAAAACTCACGCATACGTGATATTACGCCGTTCAGTTGTGTGTCTTGGTATATGAACATCCATGCAAACGTGTAAGTGATATCACCTCTGAAGCTTGGAACCAAGCTGCTCTTTCAGTCTCTCTTCCTTTCGTTGGTTTTGTGACTAGATGGGACAGATTTCTCATTGTCACATACAGCATAAACACAGACTGCCAAACAACACTTCATAAATCACAAACAGACTCAATATATGCAGAGACTCCATTACACATCTTACAAAACCTTTGGAAAATGATGTAATACGATATGATTAGCTAGGAAAAAAATGTTGCCCAACACAGCCTGGGAGTATATCTTTTTAAAGAGCTATTTAAAGAACTTTGCCGCCAAAAATTGTGGAAATATGATTTACTGCCGTTCTTAATTACTGTCAAGGAGGCAGCTTGAAGGATAAGATTTAGAAACCACAGTTAGCAAACGACCCACGGCTACATTTGGGTATAGTGCTAAACAACTGCCTGGGAAAATGTGGTTTTCTCTGGCACAGAACAAGTGTTGAAATGTTTGTTGTTAGTGGCATTTTTTCCCCCTTATATCTATCATACATAATTCATCATTCATGCCCAGAATACAGGATTTGTAACCGTTTAAAAGATTAATAGCTTGTTTACTTGACAAATTGTGTCTGATTTCATGGGTGGAAGAGGGGAAAAGCTTAGAAATGTTATGCAGTTTGGAGCATAAAATGAACATATTTCTGTCCAAAGTGAAACAATTAATATTGTCTTTGAATTACTAAGTATCTTGAGTATTTTCTAATGTACTGCCTAAATGTGTTCTTTCTTTCTTCACTGCTTTCTTGCTTTCTTCTTTTACTTCAATTCCTTGTTCCTTATTTTAATTGCTTAATTTCTTTAACTTTTTCTTACCTTCCTATTGTCACGAATCCAGTCTATGAACTTCCGTTCACTCACCACCAGAGGTCACGCGCTCACTACATTGACTCTCACACCACACACACTGTTACGTCACGCCGGACTACAGTTCCCATCATCCATTGCACTGATTACACACACACACAGCTGAATGCACTGATTACACACACACAGCTGAATCCAATCAGACATGCTTTATAAGCCCTGGACTTCCTCGTTGAGATTGCCGAGTATTGTTTGCGTTTATCGCTCTCTAAGTAGTAGCACTTTATGGAGCTAGTTTTCTGTCCTAGTTTTCTGAATCTAGTTTAGTCTTGTTTTACCGGTGTCTTGATTCCAGTCTGTTTATCTCGTCCTGTCTGTCTGCTGCCTGCCCTGGAATTATTAGCCTGTCTTGGATTGTCCCTTTCGTCTTGCTGTTCGGACTGTGTTTGCACCTTGCCTGGACTATTGCTCATGTTGTCGGATTACCCCTCTTGTCAAGCTCTCTGGATACTGTTAGCCGCCGATCAACCACGCCTGCTTTGGATTACTCTTGTCTTGCCCTCGATATACCTGTGTGCCATTGTCTGACCCTTGCCTGTTTTGACCATGTTTAAGAATAAAGCTTTGTAAATGGATCCGCACGCTTCCTCTGTTCCCTCCATAACACATCAATTCTTTAGTTTTTCCTTACTTTTTTTTTCTTTTGTTCATCCACTCTTATTTACTTACCATTTTCCCATCTTTCCTTCCATCTGTTGGTTCCTCCATTGTTCCTGTTTTCCTTTTCCTTCCATACCTTGATTCCAGTTTCTCTTTACTAAGGAATTTCCTTTACGTTCTTCCTTCCATTATTCCTAACTTCCTGCATTGTTTTCTTAATTTTTTTACTTTACTTAAATCTTTTCCTTTCTTACCTTTCTCTCTCTTTTTATTTCCTTCCTTATTTTCTTTCTTTCTTACCATGCTTCCTTCAGTACTTTTTTCCTTCCATCAAAACTTTAGTGTTTTTTTTTGTAATAAACTTGCTTTATTACTACCATATTTCTTCCTTCTGTTCGGACCCTCCCTCTTTACATCCATTTTTCTATTCTTCTTTCTGCCCGTCAGTTCCTCTGTCCAGTTTTTCTTTTCTTTCCTTATTGTCCTTCCTTTTTTAATTTCCTTTCTTGCATTTTCCTTCCTGTCTCTTTCTCTTCCCCATGCTTCTTTCATTATTATTATTTTATTTTTTTTACTCTTGGTTCCTCCATCTGTCCTTTTCCCCTTTTCCTTCTTCAACTGAATTTTTTCCTTATTTCTTTGTCTTCCTTACATTTCTTTCATTTTCTTTAATTCCTCTCCTTGTCCTTCATTCCTGCCTTTTTTCTTCCTTCCAAAAAGGTTCATACTGAAAAAAGAGAGAGGGGGATGAGAGAGAGGCAGATTACAGATGTCTTCCATTATTTGCCTGGCTGTGTTTTAAATCCAAATACAGATTTTCTTCTCCCTTTCTAGAATAGAATAATTAATTTATTGTCATTGCTGTAGTACAACGAGATTATATTAGAGCAACTTAGAGTATATTAGAGCATTCTGTTGCTCTATATTAATTATTGCATGTTTAATAATCATGGACGCTTGCATTTATCTCATAAATGTGTCTCACACTAATTGTTCATGACATTTCCTGTCACAGTTCTCATTTCTCTAGAGAGTAATTCCAGGGACTGTGTTCTGTGTATATGTGTTTGTGAGGGGATACTTGTCTGCGTCTATCTTTCTTTTTCCATCTCTTAAGGTGTTGGCAGGCTTGTCACGTTTAATATCTTCCAGCAGAAAAAAGTGTATTTAAGATCGCAGGGTGTGATTGAGATAAAGATCCTGTAGTGGATACAGTGTCAGAGTGCACAGGATTGGAGACCTTTGACTTGACTCTGTGTGCTCTTACATAACTGAACAGCTGATCGACTGAACAAAACATGGCATGCAGTCATGTCTCCTCAGAGGTCACAGTGGTTTAAGGGTGAGGAAGTGGACCAGTGATGTTTTCCTTGTTAGAGAAACAGAGAAAAATCTCGTTACATTTTTTTTAGAGGAACAGTTTACCACAAAACAAAAACACTGCCTTAATTTGCCTAAAACCACTAGGCATCATACAAAAAATTACATAAATCTTTCTGAATGTATTTTACACACAATGACAGTTCATAATGGCCATTGCAGTTCAGCTTCAAAATAGTCAAATATTACACCAAACAAGCTCTACAAAAGTATAGCCTATACAACTTGTGCACTATTTTTCTGAAGCTTCTAGACCTATACAATGTCTTTGTGTGAGAACTAGACTGATTTTGAGTTACAGTTCATTTATAATATTCCCCTCCAGTGAACTGTTAACTTCAGAACTGCTGCGACCCAATCATGGAGTCAGTGAATTGATTTGATTTGTGAACGAACATTGAACCAGGTTCAGTTCTCAGTTCAGCTTGCAAAAGTTTTCTTGGGCATTAGAGATACAAGACTATAATGAAAAATACTGTATATTGCAGTATTTCTATACATTGAACCTTATATTACAATGAATACTGACATGATAGTTATGATATTTCATTGTCAGATATCCCTTATAATACAGTAAAGATGAAATTAAATGGCATATTACAGAAGGACCTGTTAAAATATTAATCTTATCTTTCAACCCAAGTTCATCTGGGTTGAAAACATGACATCAATGAGTTGTCACACTGATGTTTGATACATTAGGCCTGTGCCACGTACTGTGTGTGTGTCAGTCTATCAGTATAAATACTGACATATTTTCTCTTCAGACATTGGCAACATCTACTCCTCATTACTGGTAAGAGGATGACTTCTTCAGTAGTTGGTTTATATGCCAGTCTCCAGCAGAAACATTCCCCAAGAGTCAACAGCCCCCACTGTGCCAAGTGCCAAGAGAGTGAAGGGAATTCTTTTATGTATCGTCACAGAGATTTGACGATACGAGTATCGATACAGCTGGCCCAGTATCGATATTGTGGCACGTGTGCAGCAGTGGACCGCGCTTAATTTGTTTAACATTTTACAACGTTTTAAATTGAGTAGAAAAGTGCGAAGTTTCTAAAAAAGAATGAATATAGCATATATAGGCTACAACAAGGTTTAATCTGGCCGCAGAGGAACACAACTGGGTTGCCTGATATAAAGAGACAAAATCCCCAAAATAGAGTTTTACACTTGCGCAATACGGAAATATCTACTAAATGTGTTACTTATCTTTATCAACCTGGCAACCATATGCACACGTGAAAAAATGTCGTGCACACCGCCACGCGAAATGACGTCGCGCGCACTTCAAAGCGAACTTCCGCCAAAAATATTTGCCGCGCGCACTCAAAGCGAACTTGCAGACGCATCGAGTATAAATCGGCCTTAAATCAGTCTTGAGAGTGTGTGCGTTAGATACAGTGAAGACAGCGCGTTAGTTTAGAACTCTTCTAATTTTTTTTTTTT